GTTGCTCATGTGCAAGTTCAAGTTGAGGCTGAAGAAAAGTCCATAAGAGCCAAAATATGACCTTGAGTATATCCCACCGGAATTTAGAGACCATTTCAAGAATAGATTTGATATGGAACACTAATGACCAAAAACCAGATGAGTTGTGGGATGACATCAAGGGCATCATACATGAAAAAAGCAAGAGGTCACTAAAAAGGCAGGAAAGAAAGAAAAGACCAAAATGGATGTCAGAAGAGACTCTGAAACTTGCTGTTGAACATAGAGTAGCTAAAGCAAATGGAAGAAATGATGAAGTAAAAGAGCTGAACATAAGATTTCAAAGGGCAGTTCGAGAAGACAAAGTATAATGAAATGTGCAAAGACCTGGAGTTAGAAAACCAAAAGGGAAGAACACACTCAGCATTTCACAAGCTGAAAGAAATGAAAAAACGTCAAGCCTCAAGTTGCAGTATTGAAGGATTCTGTGGGTAAAATATTGAATGACACAGGAAGCATCAAAAGAAGATGGAAGAAATACACAGAGTCACTGTACCAAAAAGCACTGGTCGATGATCAACCATTTCTGGAGGTAGCATATGATCAAAAACCAATTGTATTGAAGAAAGAAGTCTAAGCTGCACTGAAGGCTTTGGTATAAAACAAGGCTTCAGTAATTGATGGAATACCAATTGAGATGTTTCAACAAACAGATGCAGCACTGGAAGTGCTCACTCATCTATTTCAAGAAATTTGGAAGACAGCTACTTGGCCAGCCGACTGGAAGAGATGCATATTTTTGCCCATTCCAAAGAAAGGTGATCAAACAGAAGGGGGAAATTATGGAACAAAATCATTAATATCTCACCCAAGTAAAATTTGCTGAAGATCATTCAAAAGCAGTTGCAGCAGTACACCACCAGGGAACTGCCAGAAATTCAAGCTGGATTCAGAAGAGGATGTGGAACGAGGACTATCATTGCTGATGTCAGATGGATCCTGGTTGAAAGCAGAGAATACCAGAAAGATGTTTACCTGTGTTTTATTGACTATGCAAAGGCACTCAGTTGTGTGGATCTTAACAAATTGTGGATAACATTGCGAAGAATGGGAACTCCAGAACACTTAATTGTGCTCATGAGGAACCTATACATAGACCAAGAGGCAGTTGTTCAAACAGGATAAGGGGATAATATGTGGTTTAAAATCAGAAAGAGGTGAGTCAGGTTTGTATGCTTTCAGCATACTTATTCAGTCTGTATGTTGAGCAAGTAATCCGAGATACTGGACTATGTGAAGAAGAATGGGGCATCAGGGTTGGAGGAAGACTCATTAACAACCTGCGATATGCAGATGACACAACCTTGCTTGCTGAAAGTGAAGAGGACTTGAAGCACTTACTGATGAAGATCAAAGACTACAGCCTTCTGTATGGGTTATACCTCAACATAAAGAATAAAAATCCTCACAATGGAACCAATAAGCAACATCATGATAAATAGAGAAAAGAATGAAGTTGTCAAAGATTTCATTGTACTTGGAACCACAGTCAACGCACATGGAGACAGCAGTCAGGAAATCAAACGTCGTATTGCATTGGGCAAATCTGCTGCAAAAGACCTCTTTAAAGTGTTAAAAAGCAAAGATGTCACCTTGAGGACTAAGGTGTGCCTGACCCAAGCCATGGTATTTTTAGTCACTTCATATGCATGTGAAAACTGGACAAGACTGAAGAAGAATTGATGCCTTTAAATTATGGTATGGCAAATGTTGAATATGGACTACCAAAAGAATGAATAAATCTGTCTTGGAAGAAATACAACCAGAATGCTCCTTAAAAGCAAGGATGGCAAGACTTCATCTCACATATTTTCAACATGTCATCAGGAGGGACCAGTCCCCGGAGAAGGACATCCTACTTGGTAAAGTGGAGGGTCATCGAAAGAGTGGAAGGTCCCTCGAGATGGATTTATACAGTGGTTACAATGATGGGCTGAAGCATAGCAATATCATGAGAATGGCACAGGATTTGGCAATGTTTCGTTCTGTTGTACACAGGGTCACTATGAGTCAGAACCAACTCGACGGCATCTAACAACAATTATAGGCGATTGTGGTGGAATATAAATCCAGGTGACAATTTCTTGTTGAACTTTTCCCTTTTGGGGCCTTGGGAGACAGCTTTGCCTTACTGCCTTTCGTTACCTAAACTGGTGGTGCTGGGAGCCAGTTTGACTCCTCCCTTCATTAAGTTTTCCTTGCAATTAATCCCTTGCCACCTGATGAGGAAACTTGTTTGATGTCAGTCAGGTGAGTAGAACACAAGTACCCCCTGTTTGACTCTTGTATCCTTTTCATTGGGGTGGGGGGGAATGGTGTGTATCACACTTTTTAGCATATGCTGAATTATAGACTGTTAAATGTAGTTTTCATTTTCTGGATATATATCCACCAACTGTGGGTTCAGGAATTGATGCAGGCAGGGGTGGCAGGTGGAAGTGTGTCTGAGATTTAAAGAGCTATGGAGAAGCAGTTTGTAGTAACTGGGAGCACATAGTATCGGTAGGAGGTGCATATAAGTAGAGCAAAACTAGAGTCAACAGTTTTTAGATACACTTTATTGGATGAACAGGGAATTTATTTAAAATCACTACACACAGTCATTGGGTTGTCAAGGGCTTGGGTGGTCAGGAACATTTCTAGAGTTCAGAAAAAGACTGGCTGTGGAAAATCAAGAAAAAGCAACATGAAGATAATAATGTGGAAACAATTCCATCCATTGCAAGACTAGGAATTTGTTGATGATGTTTCACAAATATACAGGCTTGTCCTCCGGTGTGTTCCTCCCCATCGCGCACACTGTCCCTCAGATGCAGCTCTTGTCAAGCAATGATGTGGGGGCAAAGGGATACAGCATTACCAGCTCTGAGGTTTAGCTGGCCTATGATAGAGGTTGAGTCTGATCTGTAATTCAGACTTGTTTTGAAGTGCATACCTACTGGATCCTGCTATAAACTCAAGGAACGGTGAGAAAGTAGGCTGAACGAAACATGAGATGTCTCTGATGTTAGAGTTTTAGAGATTGGGAAAGGTTTGCATGACGACATTTTTCAGATCTAAAACCACAGGGGACATTGAGGGTCTATACTACTGCTGGAAGCCGAGTGGGTGCTGTAAAATGTAGAGTGAGTGGATGATTGGAGTAATGAACACACCACGTACTATCCAGATACATTTGGAGAAACTAGATGAATTCATTGAGGTGGGGATTTTTCATTTACAAAAGGAGATGAGAGGAAGGCTTTTTTTTCACTTCCATGTTAACTCGATATATTCAGACATATACTGAAATGTGTCCAGCTCCTCCTCCTTCCTGCAAAGATAGGTCAGATGGGTTTACTGATTCTATGATGGGTGTATTTTCTGTTTTAATCCACTAGCTTTCAGGAGGTGGGGAGGATGCTATGGTCTCTTCTCTTAGCCATTTACCTCTCTACACATTTCTCAGCATCTTCATGCCTTGAAAAACTCCTTTCCCATTTATTGTTCTAGTTTCACATCTAAGGAAAATCCAGAATTTCAAAGAAGAAACATTCTGAATTTTTGGGTGTTTTGGGAGGGAGAAAGTAAAGGATAACACTTTCAAGCCGACTGTGAAACCAAAGGTTAGAGTAGGGACAGGCACTGACAAAGTATCTCCACTAGGAGTTGGGGCTGTGATGCAAGACTTGGCTGACCGTAAAGGTCAGGAGGGCAAGGTACAGGGTCAACTAAACAATTAAGTTCATAGCTGTCAAGCACTAGGAAAGGAAAGATCAGACCCAGCATAGCTTGGCCTTTAAATGAATTGTGTCACTGAGGATCAGTCATGGGAAATATCCAGCACCAAGACAACAGATGGGGTTTCTAAAGTGGTAATAGCCCTTGAGAACTCTTCTGAGCCCTTAAATAAGCAACTGCATGCCAGATAGGACTTCCAGAGCAATGCACATTTAGTCTAAGTCCTTTGTAGGAATATGGGGAGAAATAGGAGGTGGGTGAGGATTTGAAGTAGGCTGGTGATTACAGTACCTTGTAGATATATAGTCATGATCAAGTCTCCCAGGACAGAGTTTAACCACAATTCAGGGGGAATAATTGTGCATAAGCCAACTAGGAAGGGAGAACCAAAATGAGGTTAACTCTCAAAGCATATTTCTAGCATCTACCAAGAAGCCGAGTGGTGGAGGAGCAGTAGAGTGGGATTAGGGATGAGAGATGATGAACAACCCAGTACAAGTGGAGAGGCAAAGGTTAGATGAGAGTTAACAAAGCAGAGAGGAAAGGAAGCAACTGTAGTCTAAGAGGAAAAAGAACTGGGCTAGGAGTCAGAAGACCTGGATTCCAACTCTCCACTTACCAGCTATGTGACCTTATGATTTGGTAAAAGCACTTAATCTCAGGGAGCCTTGGTTTCTTCATTTGCAACATGAGTGTTAATAATATCCACCTCAAAGAGCTAATTATGTAGAGGACATATGATAATTGAAGTGAACATGCTTTGTAAGCCCTAATGAAAGGATGAGGTGAGTTGAGAAGTTACAAGAAGGAAAAGAATACAGGAGATGATAAATTGTAAAGAATAAAGAAATGCTAGGTACTATTCAGCTTCATTACAAATCACCCAGGAAATATCAGATGAGTTGGGCATTTAAAAAAGAAATAAAAGCAATCACATATCACTTGATTACAAGTTAGATGCATGGTCTACTGGAGCCAAGAGGAAAGTGGAGTGGCAGTAATTAGCTTGCTACTACTGCAAGCTCTGCCATCGACCAGCCATGTGACTGGGAAAAACCTCACACTAATCCAGGTTTCTGGATTCTGGAGCCCTGGTAGCGCAGTGGTTAAGAGCTATGGCTGCTAACTAATAGGTCAGCAGTTGGACCCCAGCAGCTGCTCCTTGGAAACCCTATGGAGCAGTTTTACTCTGTCCTGTAGGGTTCCTATGAGTCAGAATCAACTCCACCACAACTCCAGGCGTCTTTCTCCATAAAATCTGAAAAATTATTCACATACTGTCCCTTATTTTAGAGGGATTGTGTGGTATATTACCTATGAAGAGAACCTTGAGTTTATTGAAAGAATGTATTTTCTTTAGTAAAACTGGACTCTTGAATATGTGTTCAAGGACTTGTTTCAAATACTTCCTCAGGGATGGAAGGGAGGGATAAAAATGAACTTGTTAAGTAAGGGGCAAAGCCAATGGAGTATGGTCTTTCCCCATAGATCACACAGATCCAGATCTGAGGGACATCTCTCTCACCAAATACCAGTGAGAAGTCACTTCAACCTTCTCATATCCCATAAAACATCCTTCCCCTCTCTCATCACTAGGTACTGAAGGACATCACAGTTTGACCAGTCACTCCATCAATTAAAATAAAACATGAGATAATAATTTTTTTTTCTAATGTTCCTCTGCTCTCCCAAAATACAGGTAAAAAATGGACAGTATAGGTTCACAAGTGAAATATCTGGAAGCCACCTAACCATCCCTCCCCTCTGACTTCATTCATTTGTTCATGATCCATCTCAGACTAGATCATTTTTCTTAGCTTATAAATAATTCTCAGATGATATCTGGAGAATTTCCAGATTCACAGATCGTTACACAAAGGAAGGTCTACCTCATATCCTTCTCTGTAGTTTTTTTGGCCAGCTACCTGAGCCTGTCCCAAGAATTAGCCTCAGCTGGGCAATTCACCCCAGTCTGCTTGTGAAAGAGCATGGCCATAGTCAATCTCAGTTCCAAACTTTTGCAAAAACAAAACTATCTCATCTGCTCCAATTCATCCTCTGAAGTCACTCACTCACTTGAATCTTGTCTGTGTCTCAGTTGCCTCCTGTAAAATGAGGAATAATACTGATCCACAGAAAGTTTGAAGGAAGAACTTAGGAAGTTCAGTCACAGCGCCCACAGGAAAAAATGCCTCCCAGCTATCTTATGGTAGTGTGCGCCTGGGAAGAACACATAGTATCCCAATAGGATCAGGAAAGTGTTGTATGACTTTAAGAGCTACTGAAATTGCTGTCAGTCCTTCCCAAATCCCCTGTCCTTTGCATCCAACCCTAGGGTACCAGGCTACAGAAAGCATTTTAGATCACGCTTAATTATCTTTCTAGAACAGGAGAACCAGGGGCGCATGCCTTGCTCTCATGCCCTAGCCAAATGGGCCAAGAACTTGGGAAAAAAATGACTTCAAGGAATTCCAGTTAGTGACTTTTGTCTTGATCTGAACTAATCCCTCCTGCTTCCTTCCACTGAGACTTCCATTCTCTCACAGCAATGAGAATGAGCCAGTCCCCGCCAGGTAAGAACAGAGAGAGGTGCTACCTCCAGGACTTGTACAAAGTCATTTGGAACACAGAGAAGTCCAGGTGTCATGGAAACTGCTTTCTTGAAAGTTGGGACAGGGTGAGACTGAGCCCATGTGGAAATGTTGGCTCCTTAGTTCTGGCAAAGTCTTACAGTGTGCAGATGACTGATGGAGTTAATAAGTCAGAGGTAAAAGTTCAGTGATCAGTGGATGGATAGACACATGGATAGAAGGAGGATACATGAAGAGAAGCGATGTGGCCCCTATGGCACTCTCCTGATGCTGTTGACATCACTGAACTTGTGCTATCCAGTCCCTCAGTGTTCAGGCACCTACAATGATAAAACAACTCACTAAGAATTCCCAGCTCAGCCCAACTAAATCCAGAGACTCGAACAAATCCATGATCCTTACAAAGGAGGGGGTGGGTACTTACTATGTCTTTGACATCATGGCTAAGGAGTTCAGGTTGCCCCAACACTCGGCCAAAGCAACCCTCCTTCTGAAGGACTTGATATCACACAGAGCTTTGTGACTTTGGCATCAACTTAAAGAAGTACCCTGAGGGTGGGGGGATCCCTGGCGGCACAATGGTTTAGAGCTTGACTGTTACCAAAAGGTCAGCAGTTCAAATCTACCAGCCCCTCCTTGGAAACACTATGGGGCAGTTCTACTCTGCCCTATAGGGTCTCTATGAGTCGGAATCAACTAGATGGCAACGAGTTTTGAGGGTGGGAACCCTGGATAGGGTAGAAATTGATCTAAGGTAGAAATTGATCTAAACTTAAAGCCACTTCAGTTGTGGGTGACAGAGCCAGTCTATACATCCTTCCACCCTTATCCACCTCTCTCTTCCAAGTTCCTCTACTTTACCTCAAGCCACATCCTGTCTCTTCTATTCCTCCACTGGCACTGCAGAGTTCTCTTTGTTCTCTGATGGGATGGCAAGGTAGTCAGACCTGTAGGAGGGCATATCAGGGAAAAGGATCAGTGCTTTAGTACCCAGAGATGAGAATACAGGAAAGGGAAGGAGCACAGGAACAGGGGTGCTCACAGAACAGCTCTGCATTTCCTTCTGGCTCTGCTGCCCAAGGGAAAACAAGAATGGCCCTTTCAGCAGATTAAAACAATGGGGTTCTTTTCATATTTGTATATGAACACTCCCACCAGCAGTGCATGAGTCTTCTCATTTATCTACATTGTCTTCAGGACTTGTATTGTTAAATTAAAATTCTGGGCTAAACTGATGAGTGTAAATTATATTTTATAGTTGCTTTCATTTTCATTTCCCTGATTATTGGTTAAGTTAAGCATCTTTTCACATATTTATAGGCTATTTGGGTTTCTATTTCTGTAATTTAACTGTTCCTTTGTTATTCCAGTTTTTCTTTTAAGATATTTGTCTTTTTCTCATTATTTATTTTATGGTTTTATGTCTTGAAAATATCTACTTCTTCTGTTTGTCGGTAAACTTTGCTTATGGAGTCTTGTAATGAACAAATGACTTTACATGCAATGTAATAAAAATTATCATTTTTTTCCTTTTTGATTTGTGCATCTTGTATTTTAAGAAATCCTCTCTATTCTTATAAATATACTATTTTATATTCCCTTAAAAGAATTTTGAAGTTTTACATTTCACTTTGTCTTTAAATCACTCACTATTCTTTGTTTATTGTGAGAGATAGTGAATCTAGTTTCATTGTTTTCTTCATGTATTCTTCTTGCATTCTTCCTTCAATGATTGTAAAGCCACATCTGCTACACATGTTTTTATATATGTATGATCTATTTTAGAGCTTTCTGTTTTGTGCCATGGTTCCATTTTTTTATGCCTATGTCAATATCAGGAGCCCTGGTGGCACAGTGGTAAGTGCTCGTCTGCTAACTAAAAGGTCTTTGGTTCGAACCCACCAGCCGCTCTGTGGGAGAAAGATGTGGTAGTCTGTTTCCGTGAAAGATTTACAGTCTCGCAAACCCTATGGGGCAGTTTAGCCCTGTCTTACAGGGTCGTTGTGAGTTTGAATCAACTGAACGGCAGTGAGTTTGGTTTGTTTTTTTTAAGTCAATAGCACGAAGTCTTTGATAGCTCTATAAGAAATCTTCAAACCCTATCCTGGGTAGGGCAAACAGTTAATGCACACAGCTGCTAACTGAAAAGTTGGAGGTTCCAATCCACCCAGAAGTTCCTCAGAAGAAAATCCTGCTGATCTACTTCTGAAAAATCAGCCATTGAAAACCCTGTGGAACACAGTTCTACTCTGACACACGTGGGATCACCATGAGTCGGAGTCAACCTTACAGCAACTTTTTTTTTTTTTTCCACCAGCCACCTCCTCCAAACTTACTGTTCTTTCTTTGAAATGGTTTAGGCCAGACATCGGCAAACTACAGCCACACTACAGCTCTGACCTGTTTTTGTATGACCCATGAGCTAAGAATGGTTTTTACATGTTCAAAGAGTTGTAAACAAACAAAAACAAAGAAGAGTATGCTACAGGGACTCTATGTAGCCTGCAAAGCCTAAAAGAGTTACTATCTTGCCATCCCTGTTGTAGACTATTCTTGGCGTTCGGCCTTCCATGTGACTTTTAAGATCAGTTTATTAAGTTTTTTGAGAAATCCAATGGGATTTCACTGAATTTGCATATTAATTTGGGAGAGAATTGCCATCTTTATAAAAACCCACTGCTGTCGGGTGGATTCTGGCTCATAGAGACCCTATAGGACACAGTAGAATTGCCCCATAGTGTTTCCAAAGAGCAGCTGGTGGATTTCAACTGCCAACCTTTCAGTTTGCAGCCCAGCTCTTAACCACTGCGCCACCAGGGCCCCATTTTATAATAGTGAGGTTTTATTCTCAATTTATTTCAGCCTTTTCTTAGGCATTTCAGTAAAGTTTTGTAATTTTCTCTTTAGAAGTCTTGCACACTTTTGTCAGATTTATTCCCAGGTAATTAAGAGTATTTGTTGTGACTTCTGGGCAACATGGCGCTATAGACAGAAACACCACACCATCCCTCCACAGCAAAGATCCAAAAAACTAAGTCAAACAGAGACACACGTCAATCCTGAAACCCTAAGCATCAAATGAAGAGATAAAGAACTCAGCCAAGCACCGAATGGAATAAGAAACTGACCGAGAACAGAGAGCGAGGAGATACATGCAGAGGTCCCGTATTAGCTACCGCAAAACGGATCTGTCATCTTGGACTCCTATCAGAGATCGGTGAATGGGGTACAAGAAAGCAGCTTCATGGAGTTTCCGGCAGGAGATAGAACAACCAGTAACCAGCAATATACGCTTTTCCACCCCCACCCTTCTTCACCCCCACTCGGCCTCCTCTGCTTCCTGCAGCCACAGTCTCTTGGCTGGGAAGCACCAGATTCACATCAGTGTCACCTGGATTCCATCTGTCTGCAATGGCTGGCTCCCTGAGTGTCATTTGTTGGCTGCTGATGTTGCTTTTTTCCGCTTCTTTAGATTTCTTCCTTACCTCTCACCACCCTCCCCCGCCCTTTCTCTCAAATACTTGGCTCTGTGTGCTTCTTCCTGAAAGGCTGTGAAACACCGCTTGACTGTGAAACTGCTACCTGGCCCATGCCGCCACGCTGGTGGGACACCTGGCGCTTTTTTTTGTTTGTTTGTTCTGATTTGTTCTGTTTTGATTTGATTTGATTTCTTTTTCTTTTCTTGGCTTGGGAGCCCCTTCTAGCCGGGCAGTACTGCGTGGCTTGGGAGCTACTCCCTTACTCTGTGCAGACACACAGTGACATCCCTGGGGGCATTTATTTTTTATTTTTATTTTTTGGTTTTATTTTTTTGTTTCTTATCTCTTTCTCCCTTTTTGTTTTTCTTCATTTCCAGTTTCTTGTCTCTCTATATTTACCTTCTCTTTCCGTCTCCTGAGCACCTGGCACTGTGTGACACCTCTACCCCTTCTAGCCAGGCTGTACTTCATGGCCTGGGAACAACTTCCTCAGTCCTACCATCTACACCGGTGGGATCCCTGGGGAATTTCTTTTTTCTTTTTTTCCTCTAATTTTTATTTATCAATTTTTTTCTATTACCCTTTTCCTTTCTTCTTCCTTTCTGTTTTTCTACATTTCTCAGTCTCTCATCTCTCCACCCCAACAGAAGCTCCCTTAGCACTCTTTTCTGTTTGTTTGTGTGTATGTTTTTTGGCCCCTGTTCCTCTCTGCTCTCTCTCTTCTTTCCCATACCCATCTAAGCTCCACACATCACAGTCTCCCCCTCCTTTTTGCCTACCTGGCACTGTGCACTGAACATCACAACCCCAAGTAGCACAGGCAAGGCCTACCAGAACCTGCCCTGCACTGATTCCTGGCCTGACCTGTCGGCCCTAGTACATGCCAGAAACAACCCATCCCAGCAACTCCTCTTCATCTGGGCCTGAGCCACTGACACTGCCCATTGGAGAAGAAGATGAAAAGTATTGTGCCCACAGATGAGCAAACAACAAAGAATGCACAGCCTGCCTGCTCAGACATAACCAAATAAAACAAGAAAGCAGGATGAAACAATCAAATCTAGAATCAATAAAAGAGGCAAATAACTACTGAATGCCCCAAACGCAGCAGATAATATCAAAATATACACAAAAACATAACAGGATGGTTCCAGTAGGCATCCAAAATAAAACACCAGATGACTTTCCACTAGAAGAAAAGGCACTAGTATTACCTGACAGGCAATTCAAATCTCTAATATTCAGAGCTATCCAAGAGTTGAAGCAAAAAGCAGACAAGAATGAGGAAAAAATAGACAAATTCATGGAAAATGCAGGCAAAAAAAATGGAAGAATTCAGGAAAATAATATAGGAACAAAATGCCAAAATAAATTCACAACTAGAAATCATACAAAAACAACAATTAGAAATCCAAAAGATAAACAGCAAGATTTCAGAAATGGACAGTGTCATAGAAGGGCTGAGAAGAAGGTTTGAAATGATGGAAGACAGGATCAGCAAAATTAAAGACAAACACTTGGCTACAACTCTGAGGAAATATCAGAAAAAAGAACAAAGAAAAGTGAAGAAACCCTGAGAATTATGTGGGATACAATCAAAAGCAAAAATCTGTGAGCGATCGGAGTTCCACAACAGGGAGAGAAAACAGAAAACACACAGAGGATCATTGAAAAATTGCTGACAGAAAACTTCCCTAATATCAAGAAAGATGAAAAGCTGACCAACCAAGAAGCTCAACGAACCCCATAAAGGATAGACCCCAAAAGAAAATCACCAAGGCATATCATAATCACAGTCCCTAAAACCAAAGACAAAGAATCCCAAGAGCAGCTTGAGAAAAACAAAAAGTCACATACAGAGGAAAAACAGTAAGACTGAGCTTGGATTATTCAGCAGAAACCAAACAGGCAAGAAGGCAATGGGATGGCATATATAAAACCTTCAAATAAAAAAATTGCCAGCCAAGAATAATATATCCTGCAAAACTCT